GGCCGGCGGCCCCCGCGCGCTGCGCCCCGCCGGGCTGCCCCGCAGCCTGTCCCGCCTGCGTGAGTGTCCGGGCCGCTCCCGTATCGTGCTGGCGCTCGGGGCCACGCAGATGGCGCTCGGATGCCTCATCGTGGCCGTCAGCTTCGCCGCGCTGGCGCTCACCACCTCGGCCCGCGTCCGCCACTCCTGCCCCTTCTGGGCTGGCTTCTCGGTGAGTGCCCGCGGGCTCCTGCGGGCAGAGGGCTGCGGCCAAGTTGGGCGGGAGCGCCGAGGGGCCAAGCGCAAAGCGGTGCATTTTCAAACTCTGGGCAGTCAACTCTAGGGAGCGAGGGTAGCCGTTCCCGGAGCGTTGCTCTCCTTTTGCCAGTGCGGTGATCCCGGAGTTACTTTTCTTAGAGGACACAGCCGCCAGCGCTCGCCCTCGCCGAGCCGCAGCGGCGGGCGGGACCGCGCGGGGGTGAGAGCCGTCAGCGGGGCACCGGGGCTGGGCCGGCGGCCGGGCCCCGGGGCTTCGCGGGCAGGGGCCTGGGGTCGGGAGCTCGGCCTCGCCGGCTCGGTGCGGCTTTTAACCAGCCGGCCGCCCGCGTCCTAGGCAGGGAGGTGGAGTGCGAACCGCGGGCGGTCGCCCTGGGTTCGGGATCTGCGTCTCCGCGTGCATGTCGCCCTTGCAGCGGCCGTGTCTGGGAGCAGGGGCGCATCCAGTCAGATTACTGGCCAGTCCGGGCAGCGGGCATTAGCCGGCCCAGCTCCCCTGCCCCATGGTCACTCGCCGACTTGCCGTCGGGCGCTTGGCGTTTCCCGCGTTCGCCCGAACGGCGTGCTCTGTGGGCAGCGGGACTGGGCCGGCGACCAGCGTTCGGCATGGGGGCAAGGGAGGCGTGTTCTCTAGACCACGAAGATGACCGATTTTCAGCTGTTGACCCCCAAATTAGAGAAACAATGAGTAACAAACCTCCATAAGAGAAAGCCATGTATTAAAGCCACTATTAAAGAAAATGATTGTCCCCAAGAGTTAATATGTGGCATTTTATAGCATTTTGAAGAATGGACATGTGGAAATGGGAAAATATATGCAGAGTCGATAAAGAGAGACACTTAGGAGAACTCTTGACATCTGTATCTATATTTGGTTTATGGTGCTGATGTACATCTTATAGGCTTAAACTGTAAATTCAGTATGTTTCAATTCCATCTGCAGAAATTTAAATCAAGCCTTTATAGTTAATGTTTGCTAGCTATTTGTTCTAGATTTTTGAAGTTAAAAATTCTGTCCAGTTTTGCTTTTGTGCGTGTGTGTGTGATGGCCTTTGTTCTCTAAGTCCATTATGAGGCTTTTAAAAGGAGATCTTAGCCAAACTGACTCTAGACCACCCTGAGTTACAGGTGTGGTCATTCATCCTAATGGGGGTATTTATTTTCAAAGCTTATTTCAGAGCAAAGGTGGGCCTTGGAGAGCTGATTAGGAACAACAGAATGTGTGGTCACAGCTCAGAGTGTTCAAATGAAAGAGAGGAGAATGCAGGCAGGAACAGGGAGCCATGATTCAAATGCTCCACTATATTTAATCTTCACACATCTGTTGCTCAATTTTTAGCATTATTTAATATGCATTGTTTTCATGTCATCTGTCTTGTGAATACTGAGGTTTATGTCTGCTGGAACCAGCTTACAGGTGGCAGACTGGTACATGAGCTTCACTTCCTGACACCTCCCTGGATACAGCCCTGGTGGCGCAGTAGTTAAGTGTTTAGCTGCTCACCAAAAGGTTGACGGTTCAAATCCACCAGCTGCTCCTTGGAAACCGAATGGGGCAGTTCTACTCTGTCCTATAGGGTCGCTATGAGTTGGAATCGACTCGATGGCAATGGGTTTGGTTTTTTTTGGTTTATGGCATTGGTGGTTCGAACTCACCAGCCACTCTGCAGGAGAAAAGACCTGGCAATCTGCTCCTGTAAAGATTACAGCCTAGGAAACCCTATGGGGCAGTCCTACTCTGTCCTATTGGGTCCCTATGAGTTGGAATCAACTTGATGACAACAACAACATGGCATTGGTGCTCCTAAGAACATGGAAAGAGAGCTGCATTTTAACAATAAATACTAATTGGGCATTCACTACATTTTAGTGTAAGGAGTTAAGTAAATATTTGGAACAATAATCCAGTTTGGATTTCCAACTTTATTCCTTTCAACAACTGTTAACCTGTTAGTCCTGACTTCCCATGATTCAGAGTAATTCCACAAGTGTTTATTGAGCACTTGCTGTATGCAGACAGTCTTCTAGGCTCTGGGGAAGCAACAAAGAACACAACCAAATCTGTTTTCATTTTAGTGATTTTAAGGTCACTTCTGCCCCGGGTCGATCTCCCATCTCTCCAGCCTCCCACCATTTCATCCATTTTTCTCGTGAGTTCATTTTCTTTCCTCAAACAGTCTGCCACAGGTACCTTTAAAATTCCTTCAGTACAGCATATACCTTTTCTCATTTTCTCACACTTTACAGAAATGGTGTGTGGTTTCATTTATGTTGGAACAGGTTTGCAGGTTAGCATGGCTGTGAGTGGAGAACACTGGCCCCTTGCTGTATGCCTGCCCTCTGGTACTGTGAATCTGTGAAACGACTTTGCAGTGATGTTCTTCACTTAAGAATGACTAGGGTGGTTTGCAAGGAGCCCTGGTTGCGCAATGGTTAAGTGCTTGGCTGCGAACTGAAAGGTCGGTGGTTTGAACCCACCAGCTGCTCTGTGGGAGAAAAGACCTGGCAATCTGCTCCCATAAGGATTTCAGCCTAGGAAACCCTGTGGGGCAGTTCTACTCTATCCTTGAGGGTCATTATGAGTCAGAATTGACTTGATGTCACACAACAACAGATGATTTGCTTTATACTGAAATCCGCTCTGTGAGGCCTAGGGCCACACAATGGTTCCACTGTATCTTCTAAAGTGAGACATGTGTGCTGTTTAGCAATCCCTGGTCTTCCAGGCCTTCTCTACGGTTTGTACAGGGTGAAGAACCATTGTAAAGACAACTGTGTTGTATTTAAGGAAAAATAATACCTAAGGATAACAGCTCATTTATTGAGTGCCTACTGCATGCCACATGTTAAGCATGTTGCCCGCCCTGTGGACTGTGTGTCCCGTGCAGTTTTCTTGTGCAGTTCCCTCCGCTTGAATCTGGACTGGGCCTCTGACTTGCTTTAGCCAGTAGAATAGAGTACAATTGATGCTGTCTCAGTTCTGGCCTAACCCTTGAGAAGTCTTGGCAGCTTCTGCTGAGTAAACTTAGGTGAAGAGGGGGTAAGCGACTTGCCCAAGGTCACTCAGGTAAGAAGTGCCAGTGTCAGGTTTGAACTCAGCCACTCTGACATGGGGGTCGTGCTCCTAACCACTAGACTTGACTGCCTGCAGAGCAGAGGTGGAAGGGGAGGGAATAAAGCATGGTGGTAAGGGGGTCAGCCTTGGCAACACTTTCTGTTTCTTAGGAAAAGCACAAACCATGGGTGGGAAGGTAAAGATACAAGAGAGGTTGGAAGGGGGAGAGGAGGGAAGTTGAGGTTTAAGGTTGGGAGGGAGGACCTTGGCAAAGTTGGAGACAGTTGAGGAGGTGGCAGGTCAGGGAGGAGGGAACAGATGCTGTGATGAACGCAGAGCTGGCCAGTTCCCGGCCTTTGAGGACCCCACCTTCAGATGGTGTTCCTGCCCTGGGGACCGTGCCATCCAGCGAGTTAGGAGGTGGATTGGTTCCCTGGGGATGAGTGTCCTGCTCATGTTGAGAGGTGATGATCTGCATCAACAGTTGAGAAGAGTAACAGAGCTAGGTGAGATCTTGAGTAGTTACCCTTTAATAGCGTCGCTTCATTATTTTCTTTGAAATTATACTAATGCCCAGGATATCAGACAAACAAGTACATTGTGAATTACATATGCTGATACAGACGTAGTCATTGGACGCTCACTGACTGAGTGTACTTTTTTCCTTTAAAAGTAATTCCATTGGATTTTTTTCATACTCTGAAAGCCATATGTGCTTGTTGCAATAGCTGAATACAAGGAAGTATATAAAAATGAAATGATAGCCAGTGCCTCCTTCTACCCCATTTACCCATAGGTAACCACCACCTATCTGTCAGTTTGTTATACTGTGGTGGCTTGCATATTGCTATGATGCTGAAAGTTGTGCCACCAGTATTTCCAATAACAGCAGGGTCACCATGGTGGACAGGTTTCAGTGGAGCTTCTAGACTAAGACAGACCTGGCAATCTGCTACTGAAAATTAGCCAATGAAAGCCCTATGGATCACAACAGAACACTGTCCTGCATAGTTGGAAGGCACTCAAAGTACACAGTGGTTACAGCAATGGATTCTAGCATACTGAACATTGTGAAGATGGCGCAGGACAGGGCAGTGTTTTATTCTTTTGTACATGGGATTACCGTGAGTTGGAGGTGACTCCACAACAACTAACAAAAACCAGTAAGACCAGCATTGTTTAATGTTATCCTTCCACATTTTCCTCTACAATCACAACAATTTATTAGAATTTATATATATGTGGAATATATTTCTTCGTTTTTTTAAAAAAATTACAATGATGGGATTATACCACATATATTACTCTGTGACTTCTTTTTTCATTTAATGTGTAATAAATATTCCCAGACATAACCCATTATTTTTAATGGCAATGTACTAGTTCATAGTATGGAGTATTACAGTTTATTCAGGTGTTCCCCTACAAGCATTCTGGTTTATCGGTTCTACACCTCTACAAACAGTGCTGCTTATCTAGCCTTAAATGCTAACCACCAGCAGTATATTCAGTAGTGAAAGACTGAGAGCCTTCCCCTTGAGAATGAGGAACAAGACAAGGATACCCACTATCACCACTTCTATTCAATATTGAACTGGAAGTCCTAGCCAGAGCAGTAAGGCTAGAAAAAGCTTCACTGGAAAGAAGTGAAGCTATCTCTGTTTGCAGATGATATGATCCTATATATAGAAAATACCAAAGAATACACAAGAAAGCTGCTGGAACCAGTAGAAGAATTCAGCCAATATACGGGGTACTAGATTAACACAAAAATCAGCTGGGTTTCAACTTCAACAGCTCAACAAAAAAAGTAAGACAATCCAGTTATAAAATGGGAAAAGGACAGACATGTCACCAGAGAGGACATTGAGGCAGCCAACAAACACATTAAAAGATGCTTA